TAGTGGTCCAAACACTCTTATGGGAAATTCCTTCAAATCGATTCAGTTTTTAATCGATGTAGCCCAAAATCACAACAAATGTTACCATTTCAGCCATACTGTAACTATTCAAACCTGTCAGTTACTATTGATTCACTTTGCGATGGATGATTGGTCTGTGCTGCTCAATATTTGATTGCAAAAGCAATGTCAAAGCAATTGTTTGATTGCACACGCTTTTGCACCTTTCGGTATCTTAGAAAATACGTTTTTAATAATGTATAAAAGTGCTGGTGACAGTGGAAAAAGTTGTTGCTTCGTTCTAGAAAGAGCATGGAAATGTTTGAAGGACATTAATTCCACCGCTGCCCCACCATTAGACTTCATGAATAAATATTTTGCTCTGCACAACACACACACACAGGGTTAGGGTTAATATTCACACTCATTCACACATACCATCAAAATGATAATTGAAGTTGAATCTAAACTTCATCTTACGCTGATTTAAATTCTTCTTTTTTTCTTTTTTTTTAGATATTCAACAGCACATTTCAATGACGACTGTATCCTTCCAACACTCTTTTCTTGCCAATCTCATTTAATCTTTACAGTATCCACCTCATATGGTTAAGATATACTGTAACAGCGCAAAGACATAGCTTTATGTCTACCTTCATCTGAATGAAGGGCTGAATAAATGCCATTACACCCCTGACCCAACAATATTTGTCCCTGCGCCTCATAAGCATATGATTATGTTCAATCCAGCCTTTCCCTCTTTATTCTCTCAGAAGTTAGTTTTTGTGTGTCCTTGCCGTTGTCATTTTTTCTTTCCCGTTTTCTTCCACTGCACATTTGGTTTGATAAGTCCATGTATAGTGATTGCCACTCATTTAGAATAGCTTTGTGTTCAGCCTTTTGCTTTAAAGGAAAATCTTACAGGCTGCCTCAACACAGGAGTTCCTTCAGAATTGATGTGTGACTATATAATAAAACTCCCACTGATTTCTTGAAAACAGTCAGGCAAGTTGTGACTTGCTCTGAATAGCACTTTATGATGTTATTTTAGTTAAGAATCCAAATGTGAAGCTGAAATACTCTTTATCTTTGTCATCTCCCCACGACTCCTTGTCCAGTGAAGGTAAGTATCTGAAAGGGATTGCTCTCACCAAGGTTACCCGCACCAAGATTTGGAAGTAACAAAGTTGTAGCCCAAGTTGGCCTTGAAGTGGTGGTTTAGCGTGCCGGTATAGCTTGGCTTTTGCATAATAGTTTAGTCTGGGAGTCTGACTCCCTCAATGAACTTCTTCCCCCCCCTCTTCAATGTTCCCATTAACGAACGGCACTAATTGATTGAAAACGCTGGTGGGAGGGGATGAGTGAGCGGGGTATTGTGGTGTGAGAGAGTGAACAGCATCTGGATCAGGTCCAGACTGATGGTGGCTCCCACAAAACGAGGGGCCTGGCCGGGCGCGGAACACTGAGTAGAGAATAATAATACGGGGTGCCAGTGAGCACGAGCTAGCAGAGCCATGAAAGGACACTCAGCTCAGACACTTTTGAAGCCACAGCCTGGCTGAGCGGGAAAAACATCAAGTTACAGTCATTCCTGTGGGCTGACATGTCCTGAATATTTGTAATGTTATGGAATTTTTTATTTTAAACAATGGATTATCAGGATGTAAGAAATAGAAATGTACTAAAAACGCGATCATTCGCCAAGTTGCTCTGAGGGAAAAGAGCTCTGATGCCCCTATCAGAGAGCAGAGGAGGTGTTCAATACCTGACCTACACACCTGCCCGGGAAGATCTGTGTCCCATAATTCAGTAACTAACACAGACACAAGGCCGTCTCCTTCCTGGTACAACCGGATGTTGCTAGCAGTTCCCCAGATTGCAGACACATAAGAGAACTTTCCCAGAGAACTGAACATTTGAGCAAATATAATGTTTTCTATCACAGTGATCAGATAAAATCCAAGCGTGTTTGCTTGAATATGTATGGCCTCGTGTGCACATCAACGTTCTTCTTGTTGAAGACTGAGTATATTCAATGGGAAAAGACCTCAGCATGCCAAGATATGAAGGTACGGCCACGCCACCTATCTGAACAAACTTTGGTTTGCAGTCACTGAACTCCCCTTGAAGAATAATGTACTCCAAACCCCTTTGAACATGATGTTTAACAATCACATTCTTCCCCTACCATCCATTATATGAGCCACGTTCATATCCCAAGTCAGAGGCAACGCTTCTGGCTTCACTTGCATCTTTTCCACCTCTGATCTAAATGTCTCACAGTGCTCTGCTTCCAGCTGCAGATAACTAGGAGCAAAGGTAGCCGCTCTCCTCTGAGAGAGGACGGAAGTGTTCAGTCCGTTCAGCTGAGGCCTCAAAGGGCTTTCTGCTACTCCACTTGCTGAAATAGAGTACTAGAATGTTGGATCAGTGTTCATTTTTTATCTTCCTTTTTATCTGGAGTGTAAATTGGGCAATATCTTGCTAAAGTACGGCTAAAAATAACATTTTATATATGTATACATTATATTATATTATGTATTGATATCATTTTATTATATATACATACATAGTTTCCCAAATACTGATCTATAAAGATCATAAAGAGCTAGGAAACACTTTGGTTCTAAACTTTGAGGGCTCATGATATCAGTGCATGACTTATGGACGTTTTGTTTTGAATCCCGTTCTGTATCTCATAGCTACAGTAATGTCATCAGAATAATATGGGAATGGCAGCAGGAAGTGGAGCAGATGAGAGAAACATAAACCAAAAAGATTTCTCAGGAACATTTTTCTTTTCCTTGGCTGGTTATAACATGTGTATTCAGGACAGGTTTTCACACGCACCTCATTTTTACCGTCCACCTACTCCAAGTAGATGTTAACCTCTCTCATAACCTCTTTTTCAACATTCTCTTATGTGTTTGGACTATAGAGAGGCACATTAAAGTGGTTTATGGTGTAGTAAGAACATAAAAAAAAGACTATCTGCATTGTCAGGTGTCACTGACAATTGTTAGAATGTCCATCTTGTTTTTCATTTCAGAAAGTGAGGTTGTGTTGCTGGTGGAAATGTCTCATGTCCTTAAATTATTTCCATATAACCTCACGATTAAATTGTAGTTTTGAAAAGGCTTCCGAAACCATAATAATGGAGATTAAATCCACGGTTATGTTTAAAAGAGAAATTATTCATCTCTGTCTAAGACAGATTTATCCAATTAAGTTGCTTTATTTTTCCCAGAGGGAATTTTTATTTCTGTTTCCCTTTGGGATAAAAAAAAGAAGTAATTTTTCCATTTACTTTTCTTTTAATTTAATTTAATTTATCACAGTTTATCACCCTGGATACAGATAACCACGCACAGATACATTCATCCCTAAAGTCATTTCAGAGTCCCCAGTGGAGGAAACAGACAACCCAGGAATGAGAACATGTGTACACCACACAGATAAGACTGGTGAAGGGATTCAGTCCTATTATGAGGGAGCAGTGCTATCCACCATTCTAACCTCAGTGGCAAACTGAAATAAGGTTTTATCATTATATAGCATTTGTTTAAAATTCCTCAGAACCCCTAAATTCTATTGTATGTATCAATGCATTTGAATTAAGAGTTCTTTTTGGAACATTGCAATGTGAAGATAACTTAAATACTGAAATCAGGATTCTTCCCGGTAAATAAACAACCAGAATAGACAATTAGTGACACATGCAGTCCCGTTCGAGAGCCCATTTTGCTTTTATCTTTTTTCGTATTTTTTAACAAATTTCCTTACAGGAAGACATGCTTATACATCTTCCTGCACGCATTTTTTCCACCCATCCCAGCTATTCAAATGTAGCATCAGTGCTCATCAGGACAACACCGTGCATGGACAATCATGTAACAATGTGTCAGAGTAATTTAAAAAATATCCCTGGAGATTTAAACAAGTCAGATTGAACTAGAAAAATAGAAAAAAAAAATCCTCTGTACATTTCGATGCGTTCCACTATGACATCAAACATGGGGTAAGAGTAAAATCTTCTTTTTTCTTTTACTGAAACCAAATAAAGGTCAGACCTGCCTTTCCATGTGGAGGGAATGAGGTGGTCATCACCCAGAGAAAAAGTCAGACTGCAAACCTCCGCGCGGCTCAACGTCCGATCTTATTTTTTCTTGTGGTGGTTGACACATTCTCTCAGAGATGAGTGATTAATTTTTGTCGATATGTGAATATAACTGCAGCACACTTCTGGAATGTCTAAAAAAAATGGTGGCAGACAGGTCTGAGGAGGAGGAGGTTGACCTGTCACTGTCATGGGAAATGTGTGGCCGCTGGGATGACCAGTCACCAAAAATCTGCCAATATTTTCCCAGCTGGATATTCAGAGAATGGAAATAAAACATTTACCAAGATGAATTAAATAAACTAAGCCAAAGATAAACACATAATTTTCATGTATTGTTAAATGAGAGGCACATTTAACGTGTAGCCTTTATTTAAGCCTCTATCCTGGGTCGTAAATAATGCAACAAAGTGACCTAACCACATAGTAAGTGTCCGGAATTTTAGTAATCCTTATTTACAAAGCACTTATTTCTACACATGTTTGGAATCGACTAATTCCCTCTGAAGTCATCATGGCTTTAAAACGGTGTCTGAATCCTGAGTCATTAAATTCAGACAAACCTACTACTTGTTTGTTTCGATATGGCTGTTTTTATTTCTTTAAAAAATATTATTTAAATTATTTTTTTAAATATGGCAATTTGTTGCATTTCTCCAGGTATCATTTACATTTTTCTGTCAAAGACAAAAAGCCCACTTTGTTGATCGACACGGATTAATTAGAGGAGTGGATTTTCATCAGTTTTATCTTTTTCTTTTTTAATAAAGCAAACATGTGACATTTAAATAAAAAATATTCCCCATGTGCGTCCACTCAGTTATACAAAAAGACAACTTCAGCCCAGATGGCTATGTTTTAAATTAGATTTATTCAAAAAAACGACCACTTAATTCACAGGAGTGGAATATTGTCCTCTCAGACAACATCAATTATAAACACACGTGTACAACACTTCTCCACTGAAATATCATACTGTACAGCTTCTATAACTGCAATCAATGCATCTGTCTTTCTCTGCTAATATTCCTTAAATAAAACTGGAAGTTGCTGGCTGCTGGAACAGCTCGTAAGAAAGTGCAAATTTAAGTACGGCGTCTTGTTCGGGGAGGTGGGAAAAGGTTCCACGAATCGGGATCATTTTTGCAGCTTTTCGGTGGAAATTAAATGCCCATTGCTATCTTTTTTTTTCTTTATAAAGTGCAACTGACAGTTGACAAAGGGAAAATGGGATATTATTCACAAGAAAAAAGAAAAAAAAAGTGATGCAAAAAGTCGACTGTGCTTTTGAAGCTCGTAGTTTTCCAGAATAATTAGTGTGAAGGAATGTACATTTTTCTGTCTCTCAATTAGTTGTTTTTTTTTCATTTTCCTGTTCAGTAACTTTTACAAAACCCGTCTCTCAAGGGGAAACATATCACGAGGATCTTTTTCGACATAAAGAACAATACATCTAACTCAAGTCAGGTATTTTCATGACATTTCGTTGTTGTTTCCACGGTTTTGTTTAGTTTTTTCCTTCCATAAACAAGAAGAGAACGTGATGATGTCTGGAATTTGACACGAAAATGTCTGTCACACCGGGGGGGTTGTGTGCACATTGGAAGTCGAGTTTATTTATTATTTTCTCCATATGATATAATTGGCTAAAATGTTTTCAAAGTTGCTTAAAAGCCAAATTTGATCCATCCTTGTGGTATATTTAGTGGGGAATGTCTGACCACGACAGGCACAAATCAATTGCGAGGCTTCACACAGGACCGACGGGCGCGTTTTGGCCGTGCGGGCGCGCGCACTGGTCTCAGTCGTTGTTGTTTTTGCTGGACTCCTGGTCGCTCTGGTCGTCGGTGAAGCACACGTCCACCTCGCTGTCGTTGTCGCTCTTGGGCTCGGCGTCCTCGAACAGGCCTCCGGGCTTCTCCTCCAGCTTCTTGACGCTCTGCCCCGGGTGCCTGGACTTGACGTGGCGCTCCAGGTCGCGCCTGCGCACCAGCACCTTCCCGCAGAAGTCGCACCTGTACGGCGTGTTCCCCTCCGCGTGGAGCCGGATGTGCTTGTTCAGGTTGCTCGGGTCCCCGAAGGGCCTGAAGCACACCTTGCACTTAAGGGGCTTGTAGCCCGTGTGAGTCCGCATGTGGATTTTCAGCCCGTATTTCCGCGAGTACAGCTTCCCGCAGTACAGACACAGGTGGCCCTTTTTGGGCTTGCCGGACTCGGCCGCGCTGGCACCCCCCACCACCCCGCCGCCGGCCGGGATGGAGTCCAGCCGCGTCCGGTTCTTCTCCGCGGAGATCTCGGACAGCTGCTGCGTGTGCATGGCGATCTCCCGGTCAATGTTCGTGATGGAGCCCAGCTCCTGGCCCAGCGAGGGCGCGCCGAAGTAAGACACGGACTCCGGGTATTTCAGCAGGTTGCCGAAGTGGAATTTCAGAGGGTAGTAAGGGGAGCTGTACAGGAGCTCCCCGTTGTAGACGGTGAAGGGCATCAGGGGGATGTTACAGTCCCCGCCATAGGCCTTCACGCCGTCGAAGTGAGGGAGGGAGAACCTTTCAAAATGGAGTCCGGGGGGCATTTGCGGGTAACGGGACGGGGAGAGGCCCGGGTGCATGCGGCTCTCCACGTGCTTGAACGCCGAGGTTTCCTCCACGTGAGGCAGAAGCGGGAAGCCCCGGATGGCGTTGGCGCACGGCACCATGGGAGACGCGGAGTCCATGATGGCGGGCGTGCACTTCGGAGGGTGGCCCCCTCCCCCGTTCAGGCCCTCGCCCAGGTTGCGGATGGGCTTCATGGAGCCGATGAGTTTACTGAACCCCAGGCCGCTCAGCTTCCCGCCGGCCTCCTCTCTGGAGGAGTCCCCGCCCGGGACTTTGGAGACACCGGCAGGTTTGAAGGCCGAGCGCACCCCCGGGTGGAAGCCCATGTTGCTCAACACCGAGGAGGTGGCCCCCAAACCGAAGAGGTGTCCCGGGTTTCTGGCCGAGGAGACGCTCATGTCGAGGGCCCTGTCCTGCTCCTCGGTGCTGTTTTTCTTGGACAGTCCCGTTTTGTTTAGAAAAGGCGAGGAAGACACCGCCCGCCTGCCCGATGATTCCGACAGGGACGGGTTGCCGTGGCCGCTCCTCGGTGAGGTAGAGGTGTTGGGGATGTCTCCGGATTTTGGAGATCTGCTGAAGGTCTCCGTGCCTCTGGCCTGCTCGCTGCTCACGAACCCCCGCCCGTTGCTCAGAGCGCAGTGGAAGTGGACGTGGGCCTTGAGTGTGTTTGGGTATTTGAATATTCTCCAGCAATACCAGCAGATGTAACGCTCCTCACCTGCAGAGACACAGTGAAAGGGAACAATGACATCAGCGGGGGGGGGATTCGACCGTTGAGAAGCAACACCGACTGTTGAAATTCCTACAAAATTTCTTTGCGTAAAAGTCGGTGCGCAAAACTCAGGTAACAGGTTTGGTGACCTGTGGAGGACAGGCCTGCGAGCATTTATACAAAACTGTAAGGCTACACTTACACACGCACGGAAACAATCATCAACTCATAAAACACAAGCTAATCATGTTTTTCTTAAAAGATATATTATGAATTGCTAAGCGTAAAATCCAACCGGGTGATAAACGACGAATTTTCCCATTTTAGAATCTTACATTTTCGCCCTAACGTCATCGAAATTCATGAGGTGGAAGTCATTACTCAGACTCAGTCTATAAGATCTGGTGTCAAACGGTAACAGACCCGGGGAGCCATCATAACGACCCCCAGACGAGCACTCGGGAGATAATATAGATGTAATGATTTTGTAATCCTCATGCGGGCCATTGTTTCTGCTCCCCATCAAAAGGGCAAACGCCCTGCTGCCCAATCTGGCGCTCCGAGGCCGATGCATTGAGCTGTTTTTCTTTTTTGCCTCTCTGGGCTCTTTCCCGTGGAAGTGACAGCAGCTGTTGCTTGAAATCGCAAGTCCCCGGAAACAATGGCGGCGGCCCATCTGTTGACGCCTGATAATGGGAGGCAGCGTATGTCCAGGAGAGCGCGCGGTGCGCCGGCCAGGAGAGTTTAGGGCAATATACACCCCACATAAAAGTTAGCATTCATCTGACCACAATACCTAAACGCACCCACCCCTAATTCGCCGTGAAGCACTTGTTTTTGAATTATTTGCTTTTGAATACATGAATATTAATGATGGCGTGACATTCGTTAACCTCCATCTCGCCGGTGAATCAGTGGTCCTCTTCTTTAGAGCTTGTCGAGGAGAGTCGATTTCTGCTTTTAATTGCTTTTTTGTTCTGGGTCTCAAGCACCATAATTACTTTGTCACAATGTTTGTGCATCCGCCGATGCCGTATCAAGCTCTGTCGTTTGGTTTACACACAGACGAGTTAAGAGGCGCTCTCCGTTTTGAATAATATCCATAAACCGAAAACATTCTCCTCTGAAGGATTTTTATTAAGTAACTGTTGATAATCTTGTCTTTAATCGGATTAATGTCTGCTGAGCAGCTGCTTTACCAAGATTAGACATTAATCCCCAAGCACAAACGCAGAATTAGTATTACTAACCCAAACAAATGGATTGAAAGTCAGAATCACTGTGGTAGCCAGTAATCCCATTATCTATTTTTTCCTAAATTGAACTGATTGTATATTCATATTTTTTCCTAAATATTCGACCTGATATATCTTTCGTGGGAGATCTTCAGATTAATCTGTATTGATGGGCACTCAACAGCTTGTTGAAGATGGCCTATGAAATCCGTTAATTTACATGAATTAATTTTATATTCCTCGTAATAAGACGTTTGATATTTTTAACGAAAGTACTGTTTGTTTGTTTTTTCAAGAAATTATTTTTAAGAAATATGATAAACAGACAGTCAGGTTATTTCTATTTTGGGGCTAAAGGAACGATCAGAATGGCCATCTGTAATTGATCTGTCCATCTGCTGAATACAGGCCTGTTTACTTTCTATGGAGGCTATTAATTACATGAGGTGGAGAAAAAAAATCAATGCACATCCTTAGATTTAAAAAAAAAATCAAAAACAGATACTATAATAACAAGAGTGAGAGCAACATATATGTTGTCATTTTTTTATACTATCAATCGACATCCAATGAGCTCCCCATGAGGTCACACCTTCCATCTGACCACAGGCGGAAAATGGTCAGCACCCCTCGATGAGCGGACTCTCATTTTTTAATTTTTTTTACCTTTCTCGTCGTGCGTGGGAGTGGCTGTCGTCGGGATGTCGTACCACTGGGCCAGAGCGTTGGAGTACCAAACGCTGAGCTCCTCTCCTGCTGGGATTTCTCTCAGCACGCGGTAGAAGATCTCCAAAAAGAAAAAGCGAAGAGGGGGGCGTGAGTTCACTCTCCAGGTAAAAGTTCAAGAAAAAAACGAATAAAGAAGTCGTTGGGCCTATATGATGTGTGATAAAAAATGGAGTGAAAATTCACCTGTCCGCCCGGTAGGTCCGACACAGCCTCGAGGTTTTGCTCTTGGCTGCTCCTCGCTGCGCGGATGAATCCGATCCAATCTGGCACCGGACAGCCGGACTCGTCCTCGAACTCGCCTCGTACCAAATGGATCTGAGCCCCAAAAAAAACAACAAAAAAAAAGGAAACGTGATCATGGGAAATCTGAACTCTAAAGGCCGCACAGACAAAATACAGAATGAGCCTAAATTAAAAATAAACAGTGTAACTAGCGTCTGGCTCAGGCTATTTTTCTTCTTTTTTTTTTCTTCAAACGTATTTAACCTTACATTTAATTAGGGATCCATTCAAATATTTTTTATTCGTTCATTAATATTTTCTGCTTAACTATTTCTATGCTAATTTTTGGAGGTGTGGGCGCGCCGGACGCGTCCTTTTTTTTTTTTTTTTTTCTCCGCTCTGATGATAATTTCCTAAAGAGAATGACACACGGGCCTAATTGAGCTGATATGGGAAACGAATTTGAGGAGTGTCAGAGCGTTTCTAAACTGTTCGAGGACATTAAAGCCAGAAAGCGTGACATTTGACACAGAGATTGCACCTGATGATCCCCCCCCCCCCCCTCTCCCTCTCTCTTCTCCCGGGGCCACGCATTTAGGCGCCTCAATCACAGCCGCTGACAGCCTCCAACAACAGGCTGCGCTCCTACAGCCGCAAACTCATGCGCTTTCGCAAATAAAAGTAGTTTTTAAAAACCGCAAGTTGTTCTCATAATTGTTTCTTACTATCATAAATCCTGCAAGAAGGAAGGAATGTCTTTGTAAACATTTGCAACCCCGAGCTTCGAATATCCTCCACAACCCTGTAGATGACTGTACTGAAACGACCAAATATCAATAAATTCCTATTCGATCTCTGTCGTTATTTTGTATTATAATTAAACTTTTTTCTTGTTTGCAATATTTTTTTTTTCTGTGCCCTCTAGGCCGATGCCCACACTGGGATAGCATCTTTTTGTGGCCGGGTCACATTAACGGTCAACAGCTCATGGGGGTAACAGGCCCGCCGGGCAGTGGGATGGGAGGTGGCCGGGGGGCGCGCGCTGCTGCACGCGGCGGTCCCCGGTTGCCCATTAGGCCGGTTAAGCAGAGGCACAGACTGACAAGGAGACCGCTAATAGAGCTCAATTATTTCTAACCTGACAGGCCAAACCAATTAATAACTCCGGGCCCGATCCAGTTTGACAGTTATTCTTCTTTTTTTAACAATAAAAAACAAACATCTCATTTTTGTGAAAACTTCTGCCCTATTACTTTTTTTTTGTACATATTGGAATTATATTTTGTACCATGAAAGAAGAGGCATTTTCATGTTTAAAATGTAATAAGACTATAAGCCAAAAGGTGATATATTGTTTTATAATCATGAAATTCTTTATAAATCTAAAGTAAACCGCCTCTGAATTTCTCAACTACAAAAAAAAAAAATTAAAATTAAAAATCACAACAAAAAAAAAAGTTTTTCTGCCCAATAGCTCGTCCGTACCTTTTTCTTAGGTCCAACCTCCTTCCGGTCCGACACGTACTTCCCCAGTTTAAAGACGCCCGGTACCGGTCCGATCCGGAGCCCGGCCGGGATGCTGCAGTCCGCAAACACACTGACGGTGGAGGACGCCCGGGTGGCTTGCATGGCGTGAGGTGAGATCAGAACCATGAAGCCTGGTAGAAAAACCGATGGTGAGTTTTTTTTCTCGTTGCGGGGGGAATGAGGGAGAGGAGGATGAGGAGGAAAAAAAACCCAGAGGAGGAAGGATGAGGACGGGCCGATATCCGCCCTCAGAGTGACGCGGCGGTGTTATGCTCTCCGGCTTTTCAAGTGATGGAGAAGGGTAAGGTAGACCCCCACCACCACCACCACACCCCCTCCCCACACATACACACACAGACACACACACACACACACACGCTAACCGACCTCTATCTAAGGATGCAAGTGTGTGAGTGTGTGCAGAAGAGGGGAGGGTGATGCGGAGAGGTGATGCGCTCCTGAGTTTGCCACAGCAGTGAGTAAGCGTGTGCGTGTGTGCGTGTGTGTGTGTGTGTGTGTGTGTTGGTGAGTGTGAGAGAGTTGGGCTCTCTCAGCAGCTGTGGAAAAAAAAAACGGGCCGGCCCTGGTCACATGGAGACTTTCCCTCACTCCGACGCGCATAATGAATTGCGCGAAAAAATGGTCAAGAGACACAAAGAGCCAGGCGACCTTCCCATCCCCGAAATCCAATTTGTCAAGGCCAGAGAAAAGAGAGCGCGGAATCAAAGGTCCAGAGGAGCCATTAATCCTCAGCATGTGGCTTTGTCCCGCAGACAGTTCCGATATTTTAACTGACAAATCCACTGTATAATTTCTCCATAAATCCTCGCCCTTCTCCATTCTCCCCATTCACGGAGGGCTTTTGGGAATCAGCGGCTACTTTAAATCTACTTGGCCCGCATTCTCGGAGCCCGGCGCACTTCAAAGGGCTCCCGCTCTCCCTCCTCCTTTTTTTTTTTGTCCGTGGATTAACAAAGGGAGCAGGAAAGTTTAGAGGACTTGTTAACTTCTATTGACTCCCGGCGTGTGCCGGGTTGAGATCAGGCAGGTACTGAAAAGGCAGAACCAGCAGCAGGAGGAGAGACACGACTGGAAAATAGCATCTCCAGAAAGAGGAGCGCGCACTCGTGCGCGTGCGAGGACACTTTTGGTTTTCTTGTATTATTTATTGTAATTTTTTTATTCTATAGTTTGATTGTGGAAACGAAAGAAGGAACCAGACTCACTGCCTGATTATTCTGTGTGAATAATTGTGCTTTTATTTTGGATTAGGGATGACATTATCTCAAATAGTTTCTCTGAATATATTACAAAACTATGTGAAGAATTCATAGTAACAAAAGGCAGCTGTTATTGGATTAGATTGATTAAATCTGTTTAAAACTTAGTTCCAGTGCCAACGTGTGACTCATCCACTCATTACTCTTGACTTTAATGGCTCTATTGACTGATTAATTGGCTGAATGATCGATTGGATTTGCAATTAGCCTGCAAAAAAAAATAAAAAAGAAAAGAAAGACAAAAAAAACTGCATGGGTGCTCTGGGAAATACCAGGGAACTGAAAAAGTTTTCAAATGAATACAGATTCGGATGCTTGGAGCTTGGTGGCCATTTTCAGTTTTATAGACTTCTTTTTTTTAATGTATTTTTTTGCATTGAAATCGTTTGGACAACATTTCTATATAATCTCGGTGGAAAACATAGATTATACTGAATTTGTGCCATCAGTGGGACTGACATGTCTCGTGCAAACCCTCTTCTTATGCGGTCTTAAACCACGTGATTCCACTGATAACAGAGTGTCCAAAAAAATGCACATTGTAAAATAATGAATATAATGAATAGTAATAATACTAATACTATAAGAAGGGTTCGGGGATTGAAAGGAAACGCGTGACTGCGCTCCGGGCAGCAGGTTGCTCATGTGCTCGCCGTGATTTATCTGAGCTGGAGCAGAAAAGACGAACAAGAACCTGTGGGCGACCAGACCAGACCGTGACTGTGTTGACCCCTGACCTGTCCACGCTGACCTCCCTCTTATTTACCTCTTATTCTAAATCAGGGGGATACATCACAGTGAGCAACAATCATTTTTGAAAGGATCAAATAGATCTGTAAAGCCTTTTTGTGCATGTGACTTTTTCTTATGAATATATCAAGAATGAATGTTTGAAAATATTTTTGAATATTTGATGCCAGCGGCTCAAATACATTTGTTCTTATTCTGTATTTAAAATTAGCTCCAACAAATAAAAAAACCCTAAGACACATGAGCTAGGGGCTGTGCTACACACGAACCTCTTTGAGTCTATTATCTCCTCTCTGCGCTCCCTCCAACAGTCCAAACGACACGCGAACAATCTCATCAATAGAGCGCGATGTTTGCGCCCGGCTGCGCGAGAGACCATTTATTAACGCCCGGCCATTCTCGACTGGTTCCCATCCCACACTCCCCCGCGCGCCTCCGCAGTGAAACGAATCATTCTTGCAGGAAAGGAGGGGAAACTGGAGAAGGAATTTTTTTTTTTTTTTAAAGAGAGAGAGAGAGAGGCAAGGATGTTTCCTTTTCTGTTTTGCGCAAAAGTCGCAGAGAATCTCCGATCCGCTGCGCGCTGAGGGCCCAGAGCGCAGTCAAAAGGTTCCGTTTTCAGACTGAATGCAGTGTTGGGAGCAAATGGGATGGAAAATTAGATGAATTTAAATGGCTTGACCGCAGCGGAATTGCCCATCTCCACACACACACACACACACACACACCCCTCCCCTTTTTTTTTTTTAAAGAGAGAAAAAAAGACACATTATTTACATGGTCGGATCTTTATTCCGAAACAATATCCTCAAATGAACTCCATCTTTTTAATGAACTTAAATAACGACCTGCGAAGAATGGGAGCTTTGGAAGAGGAGGAAAACGTTTTAATGGGCAGTTCTGGCTCTTGCCAGCCTCCTTTTTTTGGGGGAGGAGGGGGGGATTTTAACTGTCTAAACGATGGGGCTCCCTGATTTAACTGGTTGGTCATTAATGACCCATGAATATAGAGGAACAACCTGTCTGCGAAGCAATGCGGTAAACACAGGGAGCAATGCCCCACCAGGGATCTCCTTTCAGGCCCCTTGACATGGGCTATACTTCAGGGGTGCCAAAGGTTCACCACCACCTCTCCTGGTCCGGATTCAATGGCCTGCCATTAAGGACCCCTCTGAGTTCAGAAGAAAAACGCATTTTTTATGTGGACCCATAAAGTTCCTTTGGATCTATTGAGAGGACTCAGATCATTGTCCCACATGGCAATGAGGCCTATTTCTAACAGATTCCCACGTTGCAAAAGAAAGCAAAAAAATGACTCGGTGTCTGTGTAAATCCCTGTAAACCACACATGTAACGTAAATCCATCTGAAATGTATCTGGTCATGCGCATTGACTGTTTTTTCTTTAATGAAGGGTGTTTTTGTTCAAAGTCTAAAAAAAATACGAGTTATTCTCTTCAGAACTATGTCTTCCACAAAAAGGAAAAACGAAGAAGGAAAGAAGACTTACTTCCCCCCCTTCCTTTTTTTTGTTTGTTTTTGTTTTCTGAGATTAAGAGGCATCACCGTTCATATGGAAGGTGTTCTACTTTGTGAGAAAAACCTGGGGAAAGACTCAAGCTGCACCGTGACCAGCTGCCTGGATGCGGGTGGGACATTAGGGACGAGTTTGAATAGTAATTATGCTTGTATGGGACTCCCACCAGATGACATGATTGGGATTTTAAGACGGACTAATATTCAAAATCGCATTAGAGGGAAGCCGAATAAACGGCACCTGATTCAGGGCTGTTCATGCGTGATTTCATTCATGGTGCCTCCCCCCCCCCACCCCCATTGATGTGGGCTGCGCCGTTTTTGGTATTCAAAGTCTCCACAAACTTTTCAGCGCCGCTCTTTTCCAGGCCAATTTTTTTTTTCTCTTTTTTCCGCCCCTCACTTAAACTCGCCTCTTCTCGCTTGAGGGGGCGCGGATAAAGGCGTGTGAAGTCGGCGTGAATTGATATGTTTCGGTGTACCTTATAAATTCATACCTTTTCTCACTCGAGCGCCTCAGAAAGAAAGTGTCACTCAGGCCGATTCTCTTTGCTGTCCGACGCATTTACCAGGAGATCTATTTGAGGAGTTAATTCCTAGGCAAATGTATGCAGGCATGGCTCCGCGTGAATGGAGCAGCGTGTCAGCCGACCCTAATTGGGATTTAGCCACCCAAAGCATGCGCACAAAGTGACAGAAAATCGCAGGTTTCAAAGAGAGTCGCAACTTTTGCCCTTCTCGGTGATTATTCCCCCTGGCTCAGACTAAGACGGGTTTTGTTTTGTTTTTTTCTCACAGGATGAAGGGTTCCTGACCCGGCTTGAAATATGGACTGTTTCTGCAAACTGAACGTGTGAGTACTGGCAAAGAGCATGTTTCAAGACATGCAGCTTTGCACTTTCCGGGGTGATTTTTTTTATTTATTTCTTTTGCTGACACCATGGCTCCTGTAACATTCAAATAGGGGCAGAGTTTGCACACAATGTCCCGACGACGGCTGCGTGAACATTGTAACGCAAGAAATGAACCGTTTACGGCACAAAACGTCAGATTAGCAAAAATCATCATTATGACCTTATTGGCCACATCATCGTTTGCGCCAGACCACGCAACTTAAAGTGGGAAATGAAAAGAGAAAGTATATTTTATCTGGCTAATTTTAAGATAAGTGTTCCCCCCCCCCCACTGCGCTAAAACGCAAAGCACCATGGATAGCTCCGCACTGACGCACACCAACACAAACACACACAGTCACACACACTTGCCCGTTAATTATGTTGGCAGTTACATAACCGGAAAGTGCATTCGGCTCCAACTTTAATCTTGAAAAATATATTCTCATTTACTCATCCTTTTAGTTATGTGCACTGTAACCTAACGCAAAAATAAAAAAATATCTGCTGCTAACAGTTCTGTGTTATAACTGCGCATGAGTTTGTGAATAATGGCTAAAATGACGTCAAGATAAAAACTCGAAGTTATGTTAAGGTTATCAAATACATTACAATCTCCCAAACGACTCACATACAATTCCCCAATCTTAAATACATGACATGTGTGACATCAATATTTCATTTACATTGTTTCACTATTTAATACACGATGTATTTTGTCTATTCTTGTTACTTTAACTTTTAAAATGGTCTATTTCCTTCTTTGCATATTCAGTTTTTTTATTGCTTATCAA